TCTTTTCTTCTCTTCTCTTCTCTTCTCTTCTCTTCTCTTCTCTTCTCTTCTCTCTCTCCTCTCCTCTCCTCTCCTCTCCTCTCCTCTCCTCTCCTCTCCTCTCCTCTCCTCTCCTCTCTCCTCTCCTCTCCTCTCCTCTCCTCTCCTCTCCTCTCTCTCTCTCTCTCTCTCTCTCTCTCTCTCTCTCTCTCTCCTTCCCTTGCTCCCTTCCTTTCTCTAAAATCAGTTTTAAAAAAGGAAAAGAGTCCAGTAAGCTTGGGGAATTAGTGTGGACAAATAAAAGAAGACATTAATTGGGCGGGGGCGGGGGCGGTGTACTAACATTTACTGACACCTACTCCGCGCTGAGCACTCCCCCACACGTTCATTCAATCCCCGCAGGAACACTGCTGGGCAGGTATTTTTACCCCAGTGTCACAGATGAGAAAACCGAGACTCAGAGAGGTGAAGTCACTTCCCTGAGATAGAACTGGCGTCTGACTCACCCGGACACTCACGTCCTTTCCTCACCACTGCCCTACGCGTGCCGTCCTAGGTGACAGTCCCCTCTCTCCGAGCCCGCTTCCTCTCCCTGGCGTGGGGACGGCAAAGCTGGCCTGGCTCACACAGCTCTCAGAGGGTCGAGACTCACAGGGGATGTAAAGGGCTTTCCGGTGCCCAGGGCCCCGATGGGGACTGGGATCACCCGTCTCCTTGGCCTCCACGCAGACAACCTTGAGCTGTGGAAGACGATCCCAGGCCTCATGGGGAGGTCACGGGTGTGCCTCCAGCACGAACAACAGAGGAAAATCACTAGGCTCTCAGGTTCCCAAAGGAGGGAGAGGGGAGGAGGCAGAAGGAGGGGAGCTGCAGGGGTGCCTCCGGGTGTTGCTGTTTTTGGTGCCTGCACAGCTGATGGTTTTCCAAGCTGAGTAACACACATACACAAACTCCAGCCTCCTCTGGCTTAAAATAGAGCCGCCACACGGAAAATGCCAAGCACGGGGCAGAGTCACCTGCCTGGCGGGCCCAGACAGCTCCCCCGTGGCCCCAATAATACCCCTCCCCAGCGGCACATCTGACAAAGCACCTCTCAGCTGTGTGTCACGAGGTCCTCACAATTGTGGGGGGACAACCAGCCAGCACCCCTCAGTCCCATCTTAGAGATGAGGAAAGTGAGGCCCAGAGAGGCGACAGGAAGGTGATAAAGCCAGCGGCTTCTTGCCTGATGGGGCCGTGTACTGGAAGGATCGTGACTGTGGTGGCCAGACAGCCCCGAGTTCAAGTCCTGGCTCAGCCACCGCCCGGCTCTGAGGACTTGGCAAGCAGGGCCTCTTCTCTGTGCCTCTGCTTCCTGCTCTGGGAAGTGAGGGCTCCATCGTCATGTCTGTGAGTGTGCCGTGCAAGGACAAGTGCTCACCAGTTTTAGCTATGCCCCTGCTATGGAAATGATTTTTTTTTTAAAGAGAGAGAGTGGAAGGGAGGGTGAGAGACACAGAGAAACATTGATGTGAGAGAAACACATTGATTGTTTACTTCCTGCATGCAGCCCGGGCCAGGAATCATGCCTGCAACAGAGGTACATGCCCTTGACTGGAATCTAACCCGGGATCTTTCAGGCTACTGGGCTAAACCAGCCAGGGCTAGAAATGAATTCTTGACATCTGTAGTCAGACCGTTGTAAACAGGAGTGGGGTGGAGAGTGGGGAGAAGTGGCTACTTTGTACCAGGCACATGGAATGTGACAAACTTATATTATCTTCAACATGGTCCTATGAAGCAGGCATCATTATCACCCCATTTCTCAGATGGGAAAACCAAGGCACAGAAAATCAGAAGTGTTCTAGCCACAGACACCTACCTAGAAAGTGGAAGAGCTGGAATTCGAATCCAGGTCTCATTGCCTCCAGCGATGTTCATGACCGGGACCTCAATAACTATCCTCGGTGTAAGCCTGATCCTAAGAACAAGCCTTCCCCACCCCCACACGGTCCCAACAAGCTCTGCTCAGGCCCTTCTTGGGCTATAGGTCCCTGGTGCCCCCTTCCCCCCCCCCCCCCCGCCCCCGGTCTGGGACTGTAGCCCGGGTTTCTGCTCTTCTGAAGTTTGGAAGGGAATCAGAAAATCAAACTTGCTGATGCCATTGCTAAAAATAAGGCTGAGGTGGCAGTGCCAGCACCCCGCTTCTAGGCCACTGGGCTATAGTCCAGCTTCCAGGGAGTAATGGGGTGCAAGGCTCCCCCCCGACGCCGCCCCCGCAGGTACTAGGCCCTAATTCTGCTGGAGAACAAAGTAGGGGCAGGCTCTGGGTGCCATGTCCCTATGGGCCCAGGCCATTGCTCAGTTGTGATATCGGTCATAGTGGCTAACACTTCTAGACAGGTCTTCAGGGCTGGACACTGCTCTCAGAGCATCACATCTACTGGCTCATTTCATCCTCACAACCACTGTAGTTCCCTGTAGCTGCTGTGACAAATTATCACAAACTTAGCAGCCTAAACAGCACTAATGTATTATCTCCCCGTCCTGTAGGGTGGAGGTCTACACAGGTGGAATTGGACTAAAATCGACTAGGACTGCAGTCCGTTCTGGAGGCTCTAGGGAGGGGTCCATTTTCTTGCCTTTTCCAGATTCTAGAAGTTGCCTATTCTCCTTGGCTTGTGGACCCTCCCTCAATCTTCAGAACCAGCATCGTCAGGCAGAGTCCTTCTCAACTTGTATTTCTCTGGTTCTCCCACTTCTGCCTCCATCTTCCAGTCATAAGGACACTTGCTATTACATCGGGTCCACACAGCTAATCTAGGATCATCTCCCAGCTCAAGATCAGCTGTTTAGCAGCCTTAATTCCATCTGCAACCTGAATTCCCTTTGCGATGTAACATAATATATTCACAGGTACCAAGGATGGACATGAGCATCTCTGGGAGGCCAATATTCTGCTGACTATAGCACCTAATGAGATAGGAACTTTTTAAACCCCATTTTACTGGTGGAAAAACTGAGGCATTAATTTCAAACAGCTGGTAAACAGAAGTGGGCTATGAAGCCAGGCAGTCGAGGTGTACGGTCCACACTCAGCCTCTACAAATACATGCTGTGACTGCTCCTTTTTCCACAGGCTGGTGTGTTTTCTGTGCCAGATCCGGGTGCTGGGGACACAGAGGTGACCAAGATACCTGTCTTCACAGGGAACATAAGCATGGGATGCAAGAATCACAATGCAGTGTGAGGGATACAAGATGGCAGGAGGCAGAGGCTGCTGGGAGGAGTTAGGAAGGGAGATGTTCAAGGAAACTGAGAGCAGGAGGATGAATAGGGCGTGAGCCGGCTGCACCTACAGCACAACAGACTGTGATAATTAAGGGCATTAATCCTTGTAAAGTGCTTCCATCTGTGTCTGGCCCCGGGCAGGCATTCAATAAAGGCTGGCTGTTGAGTGGATGGGGAGAGGACAATTCCAAGCAGAGCAGGACTGTGCAAGGGGCTGAAAATTCAGTGCAGAGGGGCTTTGGAGAGACAGGCTGGAGCAGTGATGGGAAGCAGGTGATACATGCCAAGGCTGCAGCCGAGGCCAGGGATGCAGGAGCTCCGGACAGCTGCAGGAGAGGCTGCCTGGTGCTCTTCCCAGAATCTCCACGAAGACCCAGCCATACTCTGAAATGAGTGTCATCTTGGTGCTGGGGCCCGGAGTGGATTTCTTGGAGAGTGAGTGAAGTCCATGGAAGGCTTCCCAAGCACCCAGCTGTTCAGGTCAAAGACCCAGGGGTTATCTTTGAGTCCCCCTTTGCCCTCCGCACCCAAGCTATCCGCAGGTCCTGTTGCTCCATTCATTGGGGTAACACTGGCTGCAGTAACAGACTGACCCCATAACACTGGAGCTTAATACAACAGAAGTTCAAAACAGGGGTTCACCATGGGAGATGGCTTTGCAAAATGTCATTCAAGCACCCAGGCTCCTTCCACCCCGTGGCTCTGTCCTCTTCTGAAGACTGCATTCAGCCTGCAGGTGGGACAGAGAAGTGACGCATGGCATGTGAGGGGGTTTTATGGGCCAGGCCTGCGAGTGGCACAGGCCACTTCTGCCCACATCCCATTGGCTACCGCTTCTAAGTGCCAGTGAGGCTGGGAAATGTGTATCCAGCTCCACCTCCCTAACAAATCTCAGGTCCATCAGCTTCTTCGTCTCCAGTGCTGTGCCCCGAGTCCAGGCCGCCCTCAGCACACATTTGGACTACAAGCGTGAAGGACTACTGGCCTCCACTCAGCCATCTTCCCTTTCCCACAGGACAGCCAGGAAAGCTCTTTTTAAAAATGATCAGCCGTAACCGGTTTGGCTCAGTGGATAGAGCATCGGCCTGTGGACTGAAAGGTCCCAGGTTGGATTCCGGTCAAGGGCATGTACCTTGGTTGCGGGCACATCCCCAGTAGGGGGTGTGCAGGAGGCAGCTGATCGATATTTCTCTCTCATTGATGTTTCTAACTCTCTATTCCTCTCTGTAAAAAATCAATAAAATATATTTTTTTAAAAATGTCAATCAGATCGTTGGTGTGTTTGTTTTCCTGTTTATAGCTTTTCCAATTATACTGAAGAATAAATCCATATAAGGGCCTGTGTGAAGTTGCCTTTCTGTTTTCCTTCTGCTCCTCCCCCCCAACCCTTCCCTCCCTCCCCCCTCCCCCACCCCCCACCCCCCACTCCCCCACCCCGCCCAGCGCCCTATTCTCCTGGCTCCAGCTTCACTTCCTAAAGGTCTTGCACTTGCTGCCTGGATGCTCTCTGCCCAGTCACCCTGCAGGAAGGCCTTCCCCAACTACTTTCGCAGACCCAGGCTTTGGGCGCTTTGCTCCAGATGCCACTGTTTGCAGACACATTAGCCCCAGGGCGCCAGCGGGTAAACAAAGGCAGATGTGTGGCAGGGACTGGGCGGCCGCAGCTGGGGCGGCCCTCCCTGCCATCTCGGCCCCCCCCCCCCCCCCCCCCCCCCCCCCCGGCCACACACACACACGCCCCGAGGCCACGCCTCTGGGTGCCCCACTCCAGCCACGCGCAGCCTGAGCTCCTGCAGCGCCGGTCCCAGGCGCTGGCTGGGGCGGAGCGGGCACGGGGCGGCCGTCGAGGCGCATGGCCCCGGCCGGGACCAGGCTGGCGCAGCGCGGAGCCGGACGGCGCGGTTCGGGGCGCTGCCTTTCGGGGCGCTGCCATGAAGCAGCAGAGCGTGCGCACCGCCGCGCTGGTCCTGTGCATCCTGTCCTACCTGCTGGTGGGCGCCGCCGTCTTCGATGCGCTCGAGTCCGAGGCGGAGAGCGGCCGCCAGCGGCTGCTGGCCCAGAAGCGGAGCGAGCTCCGGAGGAAGTACGGCTTCTCGGCCGAGGACTACCGCGAGCTGGAGCGCCTGGCGCTGCAGGCCGAGCCGCACCGCGCCGGCCGCCAGTGGAAGTTCGCGGGCTCCTTCTACTTCGCCATCACTGTCATCACCACCATCGGTGAGCGCTCCAGAGCCCCCTGGGCGCTCGCTCCATCCCGAGCCGCCCGCGGTCCCCTGGGTTTGAATCCCGCCTCGGTCCCTGCCCAGCGGGGTGACTTTGGACGAGTCACCTCGGCGGCTCACCGAGCCTCACTTGCCTCCCTGTGCCGAAAGGGCTGTCATTCCACGCAGGCTGGGCTGGGAGGAATCAGTAGGTCAAATGTGCCAAGAGGCTGGCGCGCAGGAATGCCCAGAAACTGCCCCAGGGGCTGGGGAGGCAGGGCAAGTGGGACCTGGGAGCCCAAGCGGCTGAGGTTGCTTCCTTGGCTGCACCACACTAGCTGTGTGACCTGAGACAAGTTGTGAGACAAGTTGTGAGACTCACTTTTCTCCTCTTTAAAGGAGGGGTGCTAATCAGCACTCACTCAGGCGGCGGTGAGATCATTATCATCCAGGAAATAATATGTGCAGAAAGTTTCAGCAGGGGGCCTGACACATAGAAAGCACTAAAGATAGAAATGGATTTCTGTATTGTAGTTGTCATTCCGTTACTTCATAAGACCGGAGACCTGGTCTGTTTTAGTCACTGCAGCATGGCCAGTGTCTGGCACATAGTAGACACTCAATAAATACATGCTAAAGGAATGACTGATGACCACAGCTTTGGACCTCACCCTCGGGGATCCAGAGCACTTTTTCCGCAGCATCTGGACCGCCAGCCGTTGCCATGGCCACCGCCTGGCTGGTACCTGTGGAGCCTAAGCCTGGGGAAGCAGGAAAGGAGAGAAGCAGGCTCTGCAGGGCTCCGAGCTGGGTGCCAGCCACTCCTGGGCCCCGGCTGTGGCTGTGCAGGTGCCCCCGTGGAAGCCCAGGCCTTGGAGGAAATGTTTCTATAACGTTCTTGCAAGTGAATGTGAGCTTGTGGGTTTAGCAGTGGCGTTAAAACCCGAGTTCTGCAATTACATGTTCTCATCGCTATTGCCGTCCTGCTTCTCTGGTAACTGATTGTACCTCTCTGAGCCCTGGTTTCCTCAACTTCGAAATGCAGTTGTTCCTACCTCACTGGGTAGTTGCCAGGTTTAAATGAGGTCAAGCATGCAAAATGCTTGGCACAGTGCCTGAGGCTAAATAGGCACTGGTAATTAGTAATAATGACAATTCATTATTTGCCAACGGTGGGCCCAGCTCCCATTCAGCCCTTATGACCTCTGTCAACATGGGCACCCCTGCTTCGCTATCTTGGCTCAGTCTAAGACCCTGCACACACACACACACACACACACACACACACACACACCCTCCGTCGCTGTGCCCGGTGGTGTGGGACCCCATCCATCTCTTCTGCTTTCCCGCACATTCATGGGAGGCCTCCCAGCTGTGTTTGGCCTCCTCTCCTGGTTGTTCTCCTCCCTACCTGCCCCTCTAACCCTCCTGCCCCCCATGCATCTGGGAGCCTGGGGAAGGGACTAAAGAGGGAAACAGGAGTTTTGCCTTTTTGGCCATTTGGGGGCGCTGTGTGGTGCAGGCTGCATAAGGCCGCCTTGCAGACAATCCAGGACCCAGGAGGGTGAGCACCGCAAGGACAGGAGAGAGGCACTGAGAAGCAATGGAGGACAGAGGCTCAGAGCTCAGGCCTGGTAGCCTTTGGGCAGCTTCATTCCTCTAATTCTAATTTCCGTATCTGTGAAATGGGGATAATGTCATCTCATACAGGCACTGAAAGGGTTAAATAAGACAACCCATGTAAAGTACCCAGCATGTTTAGTTAACGTTATCATTTCACTCTCTGCCAAAACCCTGACATAGCCCTAAATAGCTGGAAACAGCCTTCCTGGCCTCTTACTCCTAAAGAGGCTCCTCTGTCTCAGACCCACTTCAATTTGGTTTCATCGTTATTATTATTGATGATTAAATTTTTGTTGACCCCTTAGCCTGTGCCAGGATCTGTAAAAGGCACTGGTGACTAGGGACACAGAGAAGTGACTGGCATGGCTTCTGGCCTCAAGGAGCTCACAGTCTGGTGGTGGGCAGAGCCCTCACTGCCCCAATAACAGGGCCACGTATTGGAAAAGTGGAAGTGACCTGTAGGTCTTTAAACACATATATTGTGTTGGTATTTTGAATAAATTACATATGTACACACTACACACTTACATGGTCCAAAAAGGTATAAAATGAAAAGGAAGTCTCCCTCTTACCCTGTCCCTCAGCCTATAAATTCCTTTCCCTGGATTAAATAGTTACTGGTTTCTTGTGTGTCCTCCTAGATATAGTCTCTGCCTCTATATTCCTTTAAAACACACACATCACATAGACATGACAATATACACACTGTTTTGTTTCTTGCTTTTTTAACTTATATACAGAGTGGGGCGAAAGAACGTTTACAGTTGTTTGTATGGAAAATAATGCAATAATTAATGAATAGTAACACAAGAATAAACTGTGTTTCGAGTACTAACCGCTATAAACCTACTTTCACCCCACACTACATTTTGGTGATATTTTTATATCAGTCCCTCAAGCACTGTGTCATCTTTTTCATGGCCCCATAGGAGCTCCTCTCCACCTTGGCACAACTGGCATTTTGGACTGAAGGGTTCTTTGTTGTGGGGCTGTCCTGTACATAGCAGTACCCCGCCTCTACCCACAAGATGCCAGTAGCACGCAGCCACCACCTCCCAGCTGTCACAACCAAAAGTGTCTCCAGACATTGCCAAATGCCCCCTCAGGGGCAAAATCACCCCTGGCTGGAACCTGCTGTGTAATATTCCATCCTTTGGATGGCACCATGATTTATTTAACCAGGCCCCTGCTGATGGACACTTGGGTTGTCCAAAATTTTCACCAAGAGCAACAATACTTTAATGATAACAATGTGCATACATCACTATGTGTTTTGGAGTGGGGGTCGCCAACCGGTGGTCCGTGAGGTCCGAAAGGTTGGCGACTGCTGTTTTGGAGGACTAACTTCCTCACCGTGGAATTGCATAAGTCAAAGGGCCTGGTATTTTACGTTCTGGCCAATGGGGCCAGTTTGCTAGAGGGGGCATATTCTGTTGGGGAAGGGCTACCTGACTTTTCCTGGGTCACGGGGCCCTTTGAGAATATCATGAAAGCCTGCACTCCCCTCTCCTGGAAAAGACACATATCCACTTGTCTCAGGTGCCCTACACGAGTTGAGGGGACCGAGTAGAGAATCGCTCCACCAGACTAAAGAGGTGTTTAGTGAGAGGGGGCTTGGGGCAGATCCGGGAAGGAAGAGTGGCCTGGGGCAGGGCAGACAGGACAATGGGGCAGTGGTGGTGGTGGTGGTGGTGGTGGTGGTGGTGGTGGGAGCGGGGACAGGAGAAAAGGCATGTGGTGGGCCATGCTGGCTGGGGAAGCAGCATGGGGTCTGGAGAGGTGAGGGGGATTCAGATCACAAAGGAGCTCAGACACCATGTGAGAACTAGTTCTTTACCCTGTGAGCACTGGGAGCCACGGAAGATTTTACCTTAAAAAAAAAAAATCAAAACACAATTTACATACAGTAAAACTCACCATCTTTCAGTGCATACTTCTGTGGGTTTTGACAAATCAAGTCGGGCCAGCTGAAATCAAGACAGAACCTCTCCATCCCCCTCCAAAGTCCTGTCACCCCCTCTTCTGTAGGTAACCCCTCCTCCGCCTCAATGACTGGCAACCACAGATCTGCTCTCTGTCTCCATCGTTTTTTTGCCAGTGTAACATTTAACTGGAATCATACAGTTTGTACCTTTTGAGCTTGGCTTCCACATAATACATGTGAGATTCGGCCCTTGTTGCTGCAGGTAACCGCAGTCCATTCCTTTCTATTGCTCCAAAGAATTCCACCGTATGGATGTAGTTCGGATTATTTATCCGTTTTCCAGTCCAGGGACAGTTGGGTTGTTTACAGTTTGGGGTGATAATGGATAGCCGTGCAAGGTTTGGAAGCCAGAGGATGTGCTAGCTAGGTAGAACTAGCATTGTCAAGTTGCTCAGCCCCCTCTGGGGGATGGGAGGCCGGCAGGCAGGCCGAGGGCCACCGTGTTGTTAGATGGCACCAGGTACTCACCAACCCTCCCCCTCCACTCTCCCTCCAGGGTATGGCCACGCCGCACCCGGCACGGACTCGGGCAAAGTCTTCTGCATGTTCTACGCGCTCCTGGGCATCCCCCTGACGCTGGTCACCTTCCAGAGCCTGGGCGAGCGGCTGAATGCGCTGGTGCGGCGCCTCCTGCTGGCGGCCAAGCGCTGCCTGGGCCTGCGGCGGCCGCGCGTGTCCACGGAGAACATGGTAGTGGCCGGGCTGCTGGTGTGCGCGGCCACGCTGGCCCTCGGGGCCGCCGCTTTCGCGCACTTCGAGGGCTGGACCTTCTTCCATGCCTACTACTACTGCTTCATCACTCTCACCACCATCGGCTTCGGCGACTTCGTGGCGCTGCAGAGCGACGAGGCGCTACAGAGGAAGCCGCCCTACGTGGCCTTCAGCTTTCTCTACATCCTTTTAGGGCTCACGGTCATCGGCGCCTTCCTCAACCTCGTGGTCCTGCGCTTCCTGGCGGCCAGCACCGACGCGCCCGAGCGCTCTGCTCGCCGCGCCAGCCCGCTCCGCCTGGGGGCGCCCGAGAGCCGCTGCTCGGAGCGCCCCGGGGGCTCCTCCGTCTCCTACCGCATCCACCAGCTGGAGATGTGGGCCCGCGACAATCTGGGCTTCTCGCCCCCCGCGAGCCCTGGGGCTATGGGTGGCCGCGGCGGGGCAGGCAGACCCCCCGTCCGGCGGAAGTCCATCTGACAACCCTACCCCCGTTGGGGTCAAGGGTTTGGGTTAACCTGTCAGTGCCCCACTCTCCCCAGAGCTTGGAGAGGGGTGAGGGGCCTCGGCTGCAATGCCATCTTCTGCCACAAGCAGGTTCGCATTCCCTTCTGTGGCTAGCCCCTCTCTCACCTCCAAAAATATATTAAAGTCGTGTCATAAGCACAATTACGATTCTAAAGTCACCCAGGAGGTGCAAGTCCCCACAGTCCAAATTGTTTTAGGAAGGCGTGGCCACACTATCGGCCCTCTGGAGTGGACACAGGTGGCTCTTGCTGCAAAAGAGGCAGGTTTTTGTGCTGCAGGGAAAATGCACGGTTTTCGTGACTGGCATCCTACCCGTGAGGCCAGCTGCTCACACCATGAGAAGCCAGGGAGGATGTGGACTGATAGGAAGGCCCCATCTGCTGCCCAGTGTGGACCAGCGGGCAAATCGCTGCCCTGTTTAAACGGTCTCACTCTCTTGCTCAGCACATAGAGAGGAACTGGCCCAGGGGGGACTGCAGCGCATTCTCCCCACCCCAGCTGATGCTCTTGGTCCTGGGCCAGCGCCACTTCGGGAGAAGGGGGCCTTGCTGACACCCACCGTGTCACTGAGGCCACCTGGACGTGACGGACTGCTGTGAGACAAACTCTCGTCTGGGAGTTGTGAGATCTGGGTCCTGCTAGTCACCTGCACACAATGTGACTTTGGTAAATCCCATCCCCTATCTGGTCCTCTGTTAAATCTCATCTGTAAGATGACTGGGTTCACCTAGAATCCTGCTCCCTCCTATGCATCCCTGGAAGGGGCCCCGGGACAGGACCAAGGGGGCATCACAAAAGGCCATGGTGGGACATGCTGACATCCTGCAGACTCAGCTCCTTAAAACAGCTGCCCGTAGCTTCCCAGAGAGAGCGGCCTCCACACAAAGCAGAGCAAGACAAGTTAGAAAAGCCAAAAACTTTAATTGTCAACATGAGCTACATGGTCATGGACACAATGCAACGTGACCCACTCCAAGCCAGGGCCGGAAACCCTCCCTCCCCAAAGGCCGGGCGGCTCCCGCTCCTGGAGAGGGAATGAAGGGAAGGTTGGTGGATGGAGAGGCCTCAGCCTGAGGAACCCGGGTCCTGCCTTCCTGCCACCCCCTCAGGAGGCAGTTGAAGAGTGAAAGGGCTCCAGAGCTGATGTCTGAGGGCCTGGGTTCGAGTCTCCAACTTTGCTCTCACAGAAGCCATGAGTAAAATGGGCACGACCAGCCTCCCTACGGGGTTTGTGAGTCAGATGAGCTCATGGACATGAAAGCTTCCCATCACTGAGGTGCTGCCACACAGACACGGGGCCCTCCCTGAGGGCTGTGGGGGTCCCCACAGGGAAACGGGGATGGCTCGGTCCCCTGGGCCTGGCACAACGCTGCTGCTCAATAAATAAACACAGGTGGCCTTGCCTGACGCAACAGCTGTGCTCCAAGGGGAAGGGGGCTACGTGCTGTTCCGAACACCGAAGTGTGCCCGGGAGCTCCTGGTTTAAGGACCTGGACAGTGAATCAGCTTGTAAAGCGCATAGCCACCCCCGGAACTGCTGTGCTTACCGGCGCAGAAGAAAGGCTCTGAGCTGTTGGGAGGACTGAGCTCTAGTCTGTGCTCAGCCACTAACTCACAGTGGGACCCTAGCAGGCGCCTTCCCCTCCCAGGGCCTCAGCTTCCCCTCTTTAAAATGGGGCTGATAAGGGACCCCCACCTACTGCCCAGGGGATCCTGTAAGGGTAAAAGCACTTTAAAACAAAAACAACAGGAAGATCTGAAGGTGTGAGGATCTCCTTGAGATGAGGTGTACCGAGCAGCCTCACACCCTCCAGCCCCCGCAGGAAGTGAGCTTCTTACCTCCCTCGAGTTGGTCCTAGAGGGTTATGGCCCCTCGGCGGGAGCCCCCACCCAGTCACCAAGGCCTGGACCAAATCCTGTCAGCTGGGCCAGACCCCCAGGAGAGCTAGATCTCTATGGCAAACCCTCTTCCCCAAACCCAGGCCCAGAAAAATTCCTGGCCCGTAGAGATGGAACCAAGCAGGAGTGGATGAACCAGGGCTTAAAGGCCACAACTACTTTCCTTAGCAGACATGCCCTGGGGCAATGGTCTCCTGTCCCGTGAAGGAAGGAAGCACAATGGAACCCTGTTCTGATTTACTGAGGAGTCGTCCTGCCCAGTCCTGCCCGGCTCCAGTGCAGCCTCAGGGAGGAGGAGGCCCACTGAACTTACAGGTGACCCCAGGTGTAATTCCTGCACTGGCCTCTCTCCTAGTCTGTAAAATGGAAAGGACTTTACTAATGGTCCCAAAGCCCCTTTCCCTTTAGTATGAAAAGCAGATTCTGGAGAAGAGTAACCCCCACGCTACCTCTGCATGTGACCTTTGGACCAGAGATTGAAAAATAAACTCGGTTCCCCTAGAGACCCAGCCCCTCCCCACCCGATTTGCCCCAACTCTGCCCTCTCTGATCCTGTCCAAATGGGGGAGTTTGAGCTGCAAAGGATCTGACAGCAGTGGGGACAGGATGACCTTGAAGGTTCCCAAAGCTAATAATGAGCATCGTCACCCCCTCCCCAAGCCCCTATCCCTGGGTGAGGACATGGTGGTTCCCACGCTAAATGGGGGGTCAGAGCCCCTTGGAAGGGGGAATGTGCTCACAACGATAATACCAAGAAAAGGGGCTCCAGCCCCCACCCACCCACCCCTCCAGGAGGTGAGCTGAGATTTCACAGAACAAACAAGAAAATCAGCGAGGGGGCCCTTGGGGACCACCCCCAGGATGTTGTTATTGCTTTGGAGCACTCTCCCTCTTTATGAATGCTGTGCAGACATCAGAGGGGGGGCTCAGGCTGGGGAGCACCGAGCCTCCTCTCCCTCTGGCTGGGACAGAGGCGCTGCCCCGTCTTTGAAAACGACCCCTGTACAACCAGAGCGGTAACAGGTGCAGAGAGAGAAGGCGCTCTCCTGGCTCAAAATATTCCAAATGCCGAGTAATAAACGAACACCAGAGAAACCACACTGGTTAAAACAAACAAACAGTGAGGGGCGATTCTGGGCCTCAGATGCGAGTCCATCCAGAGCCCAGCTGCCTCCTGACCAAGTCTTGGGGTTCCACCCCCACAAACCCCGGGAGCTCTGAAGGCCTCAGGGGCCTTTTCATCACCCTTTCCTAATGCAGTGTGAGAGGCTCCATGGAGGCAACTGAACTCAACCAGACTTTAAAGGATGCCCAGGGCTCAAACAGGCCTGGGGGGCGGCGGGTGAGTAGAGGTGGGGGTGGAGGCGGGGCTAAGGAATTCCAGGTGAAAGAATCACCTGGTCAGCAGCCTATAGTGGAACCAGGGATAAGGTGGGACTGGACACAGCCGGGTGTCCTCAGAGGAAAAACACCCCTTCTAATAGCATCCAGGCCCCTCCACCAAGGCCCACATCCTCAGGAATGCTTCATAAATAAAATCAGTACCAAGGATAATAAATCTGAACATCTGAGTATAGTGGGCAGCTCCAGCTACAATCCTACAGGGGGAGGGCAAGGCAGGGGGAGAAGGAGGGCTGGCCTCCTGAGCCACGGCCCGGGCCAGCAAGGAGACCGTGGTCTCCTGGAATGTTCTTGTGTCTCCTCTCCACTCCACCCTGGGACTCTGTGAAAACTACGTGCGAGCTAAGGACAGGCCCGGGGCTTAGAACACTAACTACCCAGCTAACCTGGACTACGCCCTACACAGCAGGGACTGGGTAATGAGGGGTGGTGGACTGCTGGGTGCCTCCCAGGGGAGGTGGCAGAAATGTGCTTCTATAAAGAGGGGCCAGCCCGAGTCCTCCCCAGCATGCAAAAGGGCTTCCGTGGGCCCCGGGGAGGGCTGGGCCAGGAAGGCAGCTACCCAGGCCCTGCTCGAGAAGGAATCTCACGGTTCTTTGACTCATACCTCCTCTCTTTCTCTCCTTGAGCCAAGGTAATTGAGGCCAGGGCAGTGGGTGCTGCCCTTAGTACACATGGTTTAAAAAGACTAAAATAGGGGAGATCTGTGGCCTCTCCAGGCCCCTAGCCTGGAGGCAAAGGGATAGGCAGGATGACTTTTGACCTCATCCAACAAGAAGGGATCCTCCTATTTGGGAGACCCTCACCTTGGCACCACCAATCCCAACCCCAGCTTTCCTTAGATTCCCTCTCCAATCCAACACCCCAAAATGCAGAGACTGTGAGCCCTCTGGGCGTGGGGTTCTGAGAAATGAAGGTCCCACAGCTCCTCCCCCAAAACCCAGATGACAAAGTTCCTTCCAGTCCCACAGTTTCCACAGCAACTTGTTTCAATAGCACAGAGCAAGGCACCCCGGGGGGTCTGTGCCAGGCCCTGGGCACCTCCTCCTTTCCTTTGGTCCCTGCTGGACCCCAATTCCACTGGAAGAGAGGCGGGCAGGAGGGGACAGACAGATGGACTTGGACAGGCTGCGGCAAAGCTTCTTCCACGGGCAGGCGGAGGGAGGCCGGAGCTCCTCTTTAAGCGGGGGGCTCAGGGCCCCTCGGAGCTGGCTCCGGATCCTTGCAAAGCTGCCCCATCAGCTTTGGGGCAGGTGTAGCTGCCTGAACCCGGTGCCGCAGGAAAGACACTTGCTGGTAGTTGGCACCATGGAGATGGCTGCTGGGTTCTGGACTTGGCTCCGGGGAGCGAGCTTCCGAGGACGCAAAGAGGGGAGCAGTCAGATAGTGTCTGGGGCAGGAGAGTGGTTTGCTCTGCCACCTCAGTCTTCCCTTCTTCGGATTGCAGCCACATCCACCAGGTCAAGAACCGGCCAAGTCAAAAGTGCAGCCAATCCCACTGGGAAAGGAAAGGTCTCAGGGGATAGGAGGCAAAGAAGGGTGAGGAGGGTCCAAGGGGGGGTAGGTCTCCCTATTCTGCTTCCCCACTGTGGGGGAGAACCCCGTCCTCCTCTGTTCAAGATGCCCCTGGGCCTGGGGTCCCAGGTCGGGGCTGGGTGGTCTCCAGGCCATCTCAGGGAGCCCCTCCCCGTTCCTGGCACTAAGATTGCTCACTGCAGGGCCCCACGGTGCTCTCGAGGGACAACTGGGATGCCTGCCGGAGCAGGGGGCCTGTGGCTGGGTCCACCATGGAGGAGGTAGGGAAGAGCTTGTACCAGCCCACGGCCAGGGTGGTCAAGTCCAGTTCCTCCAGCAGCACGCGGGCCACACCCATGAACTGCTTCCGCTCCATCCGTCCATAGTTGCCCCACACGATCACCTGTGGGGCAAGAGACACAATGGTTCCCATCATCCAATCCACTCACAGGTCCATAAACAGACCCTGGGGTAACCCTTATGCCCAATTCACCTCCGAGTCCTGTGGATTCAACCACCTTACAATTGCTCAACCTTAAAATCCCTCAAGTTCACCCTATTATCCTGACGCCAGTACTTCAATCATTGTTCGCCTAGATGGCTTTCTGCCTCCAGTCTTGCCCTCTGTGTTCCATTCATGCTCTACATGAGTCCAAGTCGAGGGCTGACCCTACATCCTGAGTTCCCTCCCTGCTTCCCCCGTGGGCCCTCTGCTTCCATAGCCCCAGAACCCTCCGTGTGAAACAAAGTTTTAAAAAGTGGCTGGTACATGCATGGTATCTGGATGACCTGGTTGTTTTAAATTGTATTTGAAGGATTTTTGCAGACTTTTTTGTTGTTGTTAATTCTCACCTAGAGATATTTTTTCCCATGGATTTTTTTTTTTTTTTTTTTAGAGAGAGTCTAAGGGAGGGGGGGGGGGGAGAGGGAGAGAGAAACATCAATTGGTTGCCTCCTGCATGTGCCATGTGTCCCAACCCAGGCTGAGGATCAAACCTGCAACCTAGGTATGTGCCCTTGACTTGCCCTTGACCGGAAATCGAACCTGCGACCCCTCAGTGCTAGGGCTGATGCTCTAACACTGAGCTACACCAACCAAGGCTTTGCAAACACTTTTGACAGGGATCACCCTTAGCCATGCACACACGGGCTTCACAGTTGAAGGGAGTGCCCCACGAACGAAGACTTACCTTACTATGAGTGAGAAATGTTCTCTCTCCTATCCATTCCATTGAAAAACAAAACACAAAACTGTTGAGACCAGCTGAATTGAGTTCACAATTCACTGATGGATCTCAACCCACAGGTTGAAAACTCTGTCCTAGACAGGACCTGGGCTTCTCAGTTTAGCAAAGTCCCACTGTCTTGGCAATTTGTAACCTTGGCCCCATCCTCATTTGCTTTGCCTGCCCAGGTGAGGAGCAAGAAATCAGGTACAAGCCACGCATGCCCAAAAGACAGCACCACGAGGACAGGCACATGGCTTCTGCAGGCGTCTCACCTGGGCCCTGCCTGTACCCACAATGGGCGGCTGTTTCTTGCTCCAGGTTTCAGTCACCACTAGGATTCTCCTTATGGCCAGAGGGCCAAACACATGTCGGGATACTCAAAAGGCTCCCAGTTTATCATCGCTGTGCTTCAGGCCACGCCCTGGCTTCCAGAGGTTGATGATGATGATATAATAATGATGATTATGATGATGGGAGCCATTTGTAGAGCACTTATGATAGGCCAAACTTGCAAATACTTTTCTTACACAAAGCACACATTTCACTGTTACTGTCACTATTATTAGTAGGTACTAATAATGTCCCCATTTTGCAGATGAAGAACCTGAGGCTCAAAGAAACTTGTGCAAAGTTGCACAGCAAGTTGTGGAGCTCTGATCAACCACAGCACTCTACCTCCTCCAGGTGAGGCCCTCCCCAGGGGTACCTCCCTCTCCCTCTAATAGTGTGCAGGTGCGTGCGCGCGCACACACACACACACACACACACACACACACACACACGCACACACACATACACCCCTCACCTGCAGGACTTTGCCCTGGGGACTCTCAGGAAACAGCAGCACCTGGTTATACAGTGGGTCCAATGATTTGCGAGCAACTTTAGTCTTCTTCTTGGCAATGCAGACGCCATTCTCTAGCAGGTAGGCCTTGATATAGGCCGCTGGGAACAGAGGCCAGCAGGGTAAGTTGGAGTGTGGGCCTCCAATGGTGGGCACAAGGCACAGCAGGGGGAGGCTGCCCACCACCAATGGGGATCAGAGTGCCCCCTTGGGGCCGTGGGCGGAGACAACAGGACCAAGCCCGGTGGTAGGTGTGGGTGGTAGGGTGGTGGGGCCTATTCCACCCCCGCAGGAGGTCCCCTACCTTCCCCTGCTCACTCTGTACTCACCTGTTTCCTTTCTCTGTCACTGACTCACCCTCTCCTTTCCTGGCTTATACATTCATCGCTACCCATTCACTGAACAAATGTTTTCTGATCTTCCCCTGCGTGCCAAGCACCCTACCAGACACCAGCGTATAATCATAAGCAGGAAAGACCTGGCTCCAGAGGCTGGTGTGAGCTCATCCTGACCAATCCTTACCTTGGTCAGTAGGGGTGCTGACAAGGTCAGCCGAGAAGGTCAGATGACAATCTCAACTGAGTCCCCAGAACCAACCCTGAGTCACCAGTTCTTTATGAGTCACTGCAGCTGAGACAAAGGAGTCCTCCACAGTGGGGCTCAATATTCTCTCTTCTACACTCATATATCCCCCCAGACATACTCCCCAGCCTGCACCCCACCTTGCAGTGGGGAGGCACACCACACCTGGCAGTGTCTTGGAGCCTGGCTTGGCCGTCAGTCCCCGCGCCTGGATGATGTCCACTTCGAGCTGACCATTCCGCTCCTGCAAGCCAATCTCCACGTCCCCTGCAAGAGGCCTCAACAGATGAGACTGGGAAGTGGCTTCAAAGTTCGATCAAGGACTCAGACCTTCCTATCTGCTTAGGGTTAAATCCCCTTCGTCTGCTCCCAGCCCCAAATTACTCCCACAGCACATGCCCAGGCTCCAGCAAATGCTGCCAACACAGAGGGGAAGAAGGGGTGACGCAAGCCTTCCCATGGGACCCCCCCTTAGGAACAGATCTTGGGGCACTTACCCATCGGTGTGGTGGCCAGGGTCTGGCGGCCCACAAACTGCGCTGGCCCCATGCTGCCCAGGAAGTCACTGAACTGTGCATCCGATGCCAGGCAGACTCCCCCGTAGTTAAGGCTGTAAAAAGAAAGGATGAGATAAAAACAACTGTTCCCAGGGGCCAACCAAGGACTCAGATGACCCAAGTAGTCAACTCTACAATGTCCCTCATGCCACGGTGATTCCGTCCACATCCATCGCCCGCCTCAGGCAGACACATGCCCTGCCTCTCCCTCCCTTCTATCTCCGTGGCCCTAAACTCTCCTGTACCATCTCCCTGTCTCTCCTCGCCCAGCCTTAGGTTCCACCTCCATGAAATGGGTAAGGTGATACCTGCCTCTTGGGGTGGTTGTAGGCACGTGGGGAGATGATGTTGCTGGTGCCTGGCTCTTATGGTTCAATGACACTCAGCGTGGTCCAGGGACCAGCATCACCTGAGGGCTCACCAGAAACGGAACTGGGCCCCTCTCCACCCCCAGCTGCTGAAGCAGAGCCTGCCTTTTAACATGATTCCCGGAAGAGTCACTCACACCTGACAGTTCGAGATCCATGGGACCAGTGGCTGGGCCTTGGAGGTCCTGCATTTGTTGCTGCTGTAGGCTGCCCAATGTTTATCCTGTTCCTTTGGGAACAAGATCTCAAATCTCCTTTGGGGAGCCCCCTCCCCAAGGTATTGATTCCCACGGAGTGGAGCAGACCTGGCTCCAGAGGCTGGTGTGAGCTCATCCCGACCAATCCTTCCCTTGGTCAGTGACTGGCTCAGAGACAGGTGCGTGGCCAATTCGGCCCACAAGAACCTGGTTGGGAAGCTTTCTTTGAACTGTAGGGAGTGAGAAGCTCTCTTTTCCCACCAGAAGTGAACCTGAACCGGACTGGAGCCTCTGGCAGCTATCTTGCTACCACCACCTGGAGTCCATGAATGAAGCCATCAGACTGGTGGCACTGCATGAGCTCCTGGATCAAGCTCTGCCTGAAGCAAAAACTACATCTTTTTTTTTTTAGTGACACAAATCAATAGTAATAACAACAACAATTATAATAATGTCCTTTGCTTAAGCCTATTTTCATTGATTTTCTCTGAAAGGGGAATAATAAAATTCCCATCTCCTAGGTCTGAGCCATGTGAACGGCCTATCCTCGCAAAGGGCCTCAAACGACTAGCAACCTAGTCCTGGCTGCTCAGCTCTTCCTCAACCAGGTGAGACACCCAGCATCATTCTAATAAATTCGGTTTTCACTTAAGTTATCGGCAGAGTTGCAGTAGGATAAGAATTTCACATTTTAGCCTGAATGCTTCTCATTTTCATATATTTATATATGTATATATGTTTATATTGATTTTTAGAGAGAGGAAGGGAAAGGAATAGACAGATAGAAACACTGATGAAACATTGATAGGCTGCCTCTTGCACGCCCCCTACTGGGGATCGAGCCCACAACCCAGGCATGTGTCCTGACTGGGAATTGAACCAGGGACCTCTTAGTTAGTTCCTCGGCTGAAGCTTAACCACTGAGTCACAATGGCTGGGCATCATTTTCATGATTTCCTACCACCCCTTTCCCCATCCAGGCCGTAGCCAGGAAATAAGACAGTCAGATTCCTGGCTTTTGAGCTTCAAATCTAAGAAGAAACAGACTTAGAAGGATAGGTGCAAAACTAGGCTGCCCTGCCTCCAAATAAACAAGCAAACAAAAAACCCCAGCCTGGGAGAGCAGAGGAGGTCAGGGTGGGAGGGGAAGGGCCAGAGAAGCTGGAGGATCCTGGAGTAAGGCTGGGTTCCTGAGCTGGGCTGGCGATGCTGAGGGTTGGCAGGGAACCCCAGCTAGGTCTGGGAATCTGAAAGCAGAGAGGACTGTGGCCATCCTTCTTACTAGGTGGGGCTGAGCAAAAGGCACGATGCTTTGCAGCAATGGCTTGCCAGGTATCCTGTGAAGTGAAGCTGTGAGACCCTCCATGTCCCTGAGCGGAGCACCTGTTCCCGCTGCATCAAGAGAAGACCAGACGGAGGCAGAGTGGCATTTGAATCCAAGCAGTCGGGCTCCTGAATCTCTTAGCTCAACAATTATGCAACAGCATCACAGAGAAAGTACGGGAAATATAACTTAAATATCTGGGCATAGAAATGAGTACCTATTATTCTTGCAAACCCAAAGACCCTTCATTAACAGCACCACAGCTAAGACCCAGGCTCTCTCACTCCACACCTGCCTCTTTTCCACCCCAACCTCCTGGCCATCTGAGGAAGGGTCTGAGGGCTCCAAAGGCCTGGAAAAGATCAGTGCCTCTTAAATTCCAAGTCACTGAAGGGGCCCAGCCTCCCAAGCAGAGCCTGAAATTGAAAGTTTCCTCCAACATCGTCATTGTAGGCTCCTCGGTTCCTGGTGAGATTGTGAGCAGACAATGGGGAACTGGCGGCCCTGGTAATTAGCAGTAATTGTTTATAATATCTGGGCGGCTGCCTGATTTCCCATCCCAGGGTGCCTCACCGCTGCCAAGGAACCAAGCAGAGGCCCCAGAAACTCTGAACGGGTTTGAACAGGTTATCACATCCTCCATGGGGCTGGAGGAAGGAAGAATACAGACGTGGCTGGTCCCTGCTGGCCAGAGGGCCAGCTGCATTGGAGACCCCACTCCACCTCGAGGTCTTCCAGGAGTAGGACGGAAGGCAGTGGATGCAAAGTCAGACCTGCCCCTACACCTCCCAGCCAACTGCTGGCAGGTGCTGGGGTGTCTGCACTTGAATCTTCTTATCTGTAAACAAGACCATGTCTACCTCATGGACCGTGCGCAGCCATTCCACGGGTGAGTGCCGAAAATGTCTGCTCATTGGATCCATTTGCAAAGAGCTTGTTGAATTATTGTCACATACATGCTACTGCAGAGGCTGTGCCTGGTATGCAGTAGGAATTCAATAAATGTTCACTGCTACATCCTTTAGCTGCCCCAAACTGGGAAAATACAGTAGTTAAGACTGGACTTGGGCATAATATAGACCCTGAATTCCAGGGCTATGCACCCTCTCTGAGCTGTATAAGATGGGAATAAGTTGTAATCGCCTTGCTGAGTTGTTGGGGAGAGGCAGTGAGATAATGCGGGCAAGGTGCTTGGCCCAGCACCTGGCAAATGGAATAAAGGGTTGAGATACTGTGGCCAGACTGGAAGAGCCTCATCTCCCTCTTTGGCATTTTCCTGGCATTTCTGACTCTAGATCTGCTAGGAAGTGCAACATCTGGATGCCTGAGACCAAGCCTGGGCCTGGGGTGGGGCGCATGGGGGCTGCAGCAGGTGGTCCTCCCAGAGGCACATGGCACACAGAGGCCTGAAACAGGATTGCAACCCGTTCTCTACTGGCGTTTTATCTTGTGTTAATGGTGAAATGAGATTATCTGCATTTCAAATCCTGTTAGTTTTGTTTGAGGAGCTGAAACCCATTTGTCTTTTATTATTAATCCTCGACCTCTGTTTGGCCCTGGATTTTCCATGCTCTCCATGGTTAAAGAGGTAATTGAGTTATTGGGGGTTTGAGTCTTTTCCAGATAGATCACCTGTCCCAATTGCATCCGAAATTAAAAGGCTGCACAGCCTTCCTGGTTCGGAAAGGCTTGGGCGGTTTATGAGCTCTCTGTCCATCCATTCACCACCTGCCTCACACATCCACTGTCCATCCACCTTCCCACAGGCTTGCTGAGCCTATCATACAGTCAGTTCTGCCATAACACAAAATATATATTCCTAACCATTACTGTGCATGCACAATCCTACAATAAAAATCACAGAGCTTATGGGGAAAATGGGGTTATGGCACAACACCCAAATACTATGTCAGTATCACATCCAAAAAAAGACAGGAACATAGTAAAAATGGTAGCACGGTCTTGCACATGTTGAATGGTTAAGAAATGCAGAAATACTACAATAAATATGCTGCTTTACTTTGCAGATGCCCTGAAGTTTGCTTGTGGAAGTGAGTGTGAGAAGGACTGCAGCCTGGGAGTTAGTGTGAAGGGGAAGGAAGGCTGCTGAAATGGACAGAAACACCGGGTGTGGAGAGGATGACACACGGGAGCTGAGGGAGCAGGTTGTGTTTGAGGTGTGTGTGCGTGTTTTGTGTTTTCCTACATGGATGCAAATTTTCTGTGTTCACCTACCATTTCTTGTGGATGAAATCGTACCTGAGCAAAGGCAAAATGTGTGCTATGCTAAATTATTCCCTAATATTTCAATCGTGTTGGAACAAATCCACATTTTCAAAGCAAGCGATGTAGCAGAACTGATTATAGGCCAGGATATACAGCTTCACACAATCCTGACTGCGGCTTCTCCAGCATTTAAGACGATTCCGAACCTGCCTGTCCCCTCCTCTCCCCACCCCCTGCCTGCTATGAGAGTACGGCTCATGGGCATGAAGCCAGGGATTTTATTTATTTTAATTTATTAAAACATTGTCCCGAGCCAAGCACAGATAGTACTAGGTTAGCAACATTAACGTGTTTCATTCTCATTTAACAACTCAATGAAAGTTAGGTACACATTACCAATAACCCTTTTACAGATGGGAAAAATCAAGTAACCCAACCAAGGGCTATGGCTAGTAAGTAGTAGGCCCAGGGTTTGAACCCTGGGAGTCTGGTCTAGAGTTCCTCTTTTTGTTGTTGTTGTTAATCCTCACCTGAGGATATTTTTCCATTGATTTTTAGAGGGACTGGAAGGCAGAGGGAGAGACACAGAGAGAGAAACATCGATGTGAAAGAGACACATCAACTGTCTGCCTCCTGCACATGCCCAACCAAGGTCGAGCCTGCATCCGAGGTATGTGCCCTTAACTGGAATTGAACCCAGGACCCTTCAGTCCCCAGGCTGATGCTCTACCCACTGAGCCAAACTGGCTAAGGCTAGAGTTTATCTTCTTGACCAGTCTGCTATACTGTCTCTATGTGCCCTAAGGGGACAGAGCCTTGCCCAGAGCAGAGTACAGGGATCTGCAGTCCAAACTTTGGGGTCAGGCAGGCCTGGATTTGAATCTTGACTCCCCACTCACTAGTTGTTAAGGCACACCTCTCAGAGCCTGGGTGTCCAT